AACAACCATCCTGCCACACAAAACCAAACAACCATCCTGCCACACAAAACCAAACAACCATCCTGCCACGCAAAACCGAACAACCAAACCTATTATTGTCGAGTTGATTCAGACTCAAAGCAAACCTATAGGACAAAGCAGAACTGCCTCATTTGTTTCCTAGGCTGTAAACCTTCACTGGAGCAGATGGAGCAGATGGGCCTGCAGAACAGTTGGTAAGTTTCAACCACTGTGCCACAAGACTTCCACCTTACTACAGTGTTGCTGTTGTTGTTAATCACCGTTGAGTGAATTCTGACCCTGTATAGGGTTTCCAAGGCTGCTGGGTTTGAATTGCCGACCTTGCGGTTCTGTGCACCAGGGCTCCTCTTACCACACTGAAAGCATTTAGTGTCTGTTGGATACATGCATGAATGTTGCCATTCCGGTTGTTGTCAGCTGTTGATTGGCAGGTTCTGATTCATATTAAGTACAGTATGAAACATGGCCTGTCCTAAGCCAGCCTCACAATTTTTGCCGTTTGGCCTCATTGTTGCAGGCACTTGGTCAATTCATCTTCAGAGTCTTTCTCTCTTTCACTGATCCTTTATTTTACCAAGCACGATGTCCTTCTCCAGGGATTGGTCCCTCCTGAGAACATGCCCAAACTGCATGAGACAAAGTCACATAGTCTTGCTTCTAAGGAACATTCTGGCTGTACTTTTTTTCAAGACAGATTCCTCCATTCTTCTGGAAGTCCACAGTCAATTCAATTCAGTATTCTTTACTAACACCATAATTCAAGTGTTCAATTCTCTTTGGTCTTTCTTATTCATTGCTTCACTTTCACATGCGTATATTGCTGTTGTTAGGTGACTTGGAACCAGTTCCATGTCTTAGTGACCTCATGCCCTCCAGAAAAACACACTGCCGGGTTCTGCACCGTTCCCACAATTGCTGCTATGGTTGAGCCCATTGCTGCTGACACTGTGTAGATCCATCTTGTTTGAAAAGACCTTGGCTTGGGTCAGGTGCGTCCCAGTCCTCAAAGTGACATCTTAGCATTTAAAAATTTTAACAAGTCTTTTGCAGCACTTGTGTCCGGTGTGGTAGGCCATGTATAGTTACTGAGGTTTATGTGTATGGTAACAGTTTATTTTGTTGAAAGTGGTATTTGCAATGAACAAGTTGCTGGCCTTACACAAAACTCTATAATCTTATTTCTGGCGATGCAATTATCAATAGGCCATGTTTTCCAACTGTCATTCCTTCTTCACAGTTTCCAGTTTTCTCATTCTAATATCAATAATTATGAAGCTATCTTGCTAGCATGTCTGATCCATTTCAGACTAAAGAAGTAGTTTAAAATCTTCCATTTCCTTACCTTTAGCCTTAGTGAATAATACTCTGCCTGGTCTTCCTTGTAGGCGATAGTATCCTATTACAGACAGCGTTGCACTTCAAGATAGATCTAAAAATGTTCTTTTTGATAATGAATGGGACACCATTCCTCTTCAACTAGTCATTTCCAACATGTTGTCGTTGGTAAGTGTCATTGAGTAAGTTCCAATCCATAGTGACCCTGTATAATAGGGTTTCTGATGAGTGGCTGGTGAGTTTGAACCATTGACTTTGAGATTCAAACTGATCTTGCGATCAAGTGCTTATCCTACAGCCCCACACTGGGACTCCATTTCCAACATTTTTATTATTAAGTGCTGTCAAGTTGGTTCTGACTCATAGCAACCCTGTACAGAATTTTTGAGGCTGTAAATCTTTACAGGAGCAGAAAATCTCATCTTTCTCCTGCGGAACAGCTGGTAGTTTCGAACTTCTGACTGTGAAGTTAGCAGTCCGACTCATAACCACTATACTACCAGAGCTCCTTAAAGAATTTCTTTAGATATTACTAAAGAAGTACGGAAGTTACAAGGCACTCTCATGAATCTTAAAAGGGGTAGGCATTGAATATTTGTCTCCACCTGACCCCAGGACAAGTGCCTCTCAGAAGGGAACAACTTACCCAGTCTTACACAGTGTCTCTTGAGGCACAGAGTCATAGGCACATTCTTGTGTCGAACTATTGCCAGAGAGATGACTTAATGGAACCATGAAGAATAGGTAGGGAAGGGAAGGGGATTTAGAACAGAGGAACAGGATGGGCAAAGTCAGGCAGAGAGGGAAAGGTGAGATTTATTTAATGCTAGAAAATGTGAAAGGCATGACCTGACTAGGGTGAAGAGAGAGGGCGTGAACTGGTAGAATACACCCCTGGAAAGGGGGGCTGGAGCCTGTACATCAACATAGGATGCAGGAGATCACCACCAGAAACCCCACTGACACCGGTTAGCTAAAGTGTGTGCAAAAACCCAGCCACAGCGATTAAACTGATGCATCAACAGCTGAGGAAGTAACCACATCTCTTCTGTTGATGCCACCACGTAGTATTTAAAGAGATTGGAAATCATAGACACAAACTATCCAACCGATTAATTTGTTTACAGAGGGTAGTGTCTATTGTTGTTGTCAGGTGCCATTTAGTTAGTACCAACTCATAGTGACCTTATGCACAGCAGAACAAAACACTGCCTGATCCTGACCAACCTCACTATCCTTGCCATGCTTGAGCCCATTGATGCTGCCACTTTACCAATCCATCTCGCTGCAAGACTTCCTCTTTTTCTTTCACCCTCCACCTTACTGAACATGATATCCTTCTCCAGTGAATGGTCCCTCCTAACAACATGTCC